ACGTTATTTGAATTGTAACCAGAACTCTTTGCTAATTGTGCGTTCCAAGCTTGAGCTCTATTGAGTTGAACTAATAAACATTACTTGCTTATTGCATATGATTTGATCTCCAATATTAGTAATCTGTTATGAAAATAATTCATATTTCATATTTCTGTTAGTTTTTATCATAACGAACAACAATTTATCTGCCTGAGACTGAGAAATAGTGGAATACCACACCATATCAATTTGCCCTGCTTATTTTTAAATCTCCCATTTTGGTTTACTTGCTATAAATCAAAATGACAAGGATAGAACATAAGATTCTCTAATCAAGACGCATTATCTTCTTCATCCAAGAAGTATGTGTTCTCTCAGAAAGAAGATAGAATTTCAATAAATGGAATTGTGAAAAACAAGCAAACAAAGTGTTGGTGATTCAATAGTAACAATGAGTTGAAAATTACCTGCTAATTAGCACGTGATTACTCAATTTAGAATGCAGACAATCCCCTCCCCCTAGACGGGGGGGGGGGGGGGGGGNGGGGGGGGGGGGGGGGGGGGGGGGGACTCCAGGAGTGTGCTTTTGATGTTACCTATTCCTAAATATTTTAATCGTACAGTTAAGAATCTTTGAATGCTGACATGTTAAGTAGTTTCTGTAGCATTTACATTGAGAACCAACAGGCTTTTGTATTCTTCTATTGTAAAAAAGGGTGCTTATATTCCAACTAGCTATGCTTGCCTTTCTGAATTACTTTTACTGAAATTATTTTCATTGAAACAAGATGGCAGAGGGGAATATGTGGTTGAAGGAGACCGTTGGCATTGTTCCAAAAAACTCTTGGGCAATAGATCCATTTGGTTATTCACCCACTATGGCATATCTTCTTCGTCGCATGGGCTTTGAGAACATGCTTATACAGAGGACCCATTATGAGCTGAAGAAGGAACTTGCACAGCATAAAAATTTAGAATTCATTTGGAGACAAAGTTGGGATGCTGAAGAAACTACTGACATTTTTGTGCACATGATGCCCTTTTATTCTTATGATATTCCACATACTTGTGGGCCAGAGCCAGCCATCTGTTGTCAGTTTGACTTTGCCCGATCCCGTGGTTCTTCATATGAACTATGTCCCTGGAGGCAAGATCCTGTTGAGATTAACAAGGAAAATGTTCAAGAGAGGGCAATGATGTTACTTGATCAGTATAGAAAGAAATCAGTACTATATAGGACAAATACCCTTCTTATTCCTCTTGGAGATGATTTTCGATATGTTAGCATTGATGAAGCAGAGGCTCAGTTTAAGAACTATCAGTTGTTATTTGATTATATTAATTCTAATCCAAGTTTAAATGCTGAGGCAAAGTTCGGCACCTTGGAAGACTACTTTCGAACTCTTCGTGATGAGGCTGAAAAGATAAACTATTCACTTCCTGGTGAAGTTGGCTCTAGTCAGATCAGTGGTTTTCCCTCTTTGTCAGGCGATTTCTTCACTTATGCTGATAGACAGCAGGACTATTGGAGTGGGTATTATGTTTCTAGGCCTTTCTTTAAGGCTGTTGATCGTGTATTGGAGCAAACACTTCGTGCTGCAGAAATGATATTAGCTTTATTGCTTGGTTCTTGCCAGAGGTCTCAATGCGAGAAGTTGCCTGTTGGGTTTTCTTACAAGTTGACGGCTGCCAGAAGAAATTTAGCTCTTTTCCAGCATCATGACGGGGTCACTGGTACTGCAAAAGATCATGTCGTACGTGATTATGGGGTTCGGATGCATACTTCTTTACAAGACCTGCATATTTTCATGTCTAAAGGTATTGAGGTACTACTTGGAATTCGCCATGAGAAATCTGATCAGAATCCTTCACAGTTTGAACCAGAACAGGTGAGATCAAAATATGATGCCCAATGTGTACATAAAGCAATCGATCTTCAAGAAGGAATTTATCAATCAGTGGTCTTTTTTAATCCTCTAGCGCAGACAAGGGAAGAGGTTGCAATGATCATTGTCAACAGGACAGATGTTGCTGTATTGGACTCAAACTGGACATGTCTTCAAAGCCAGATTTCTCCCGAATTTCAGCATGATAAAGCCAATGTTTTTACCGGGAGGCATCGTATCCACTGGAAAATTTCAGTTCCTGCTTTGGGATTGCAAACATATTATATTGCGAATGGATTATTCGATTGTGAAAAGCCAAAACCAGCCAAACTAAAATTCTTCTCAACGTCTACTTCATTACCTTGCGCTACTCCGTATATATGCTCGAAGGCCGATGGTGACGTGGCTGTAATCGGGAACCAGCACCAGTCTCTCGTATTTCATGGAAAGCAGGGTTTGTTGCACAAAATCATTAATAAAAATGGTCCCCAAAATGTTGTGAATGAAGAAATTGCATTGTACACAAGCTGGGGTAGTGGGGCCTACCTATTCAAACCCAATGGTGACGCTGAATCTATCATAAAAGCAGGTGGATTGACCGTGATCACTGAGGGTCCTCTGATGCAGGAAGTTTACTCTTATCCAAAGACCGGATGGGAGAAATCCCCCATCTCCCATAGCACTCGTTTGTATAGTGGGGGCAATACAATTCAGGAGCACCTCATTGAGATGGAATATCATGTTGAGCTACTTGGCAAGGAATTTGACGACAAGGAGCTGATAGTCAGATACAAGACAGATATTGACAACAAGAGGATATTTTATTCTGATTTGAATGGTTTCCAAATTAGTCGGAGAGAGTCGTATGATAAGATCCCACTGCAGGGAAATTATTATCCAATGCCTTCTCTAGCATTCATGGAAGGATCCAATGGTCAAAGGTTCTCTGTCCATTCTAGGCAGTCTCTGGGTGTGGCAAGCCTCAAGGATGGATGGTTAGAGATTATGCTCGACCGTCGTTTGTCCATGGACGATGGGCGTGGCCTTGGGCAAGGAGTGAGGGATAATCGTGCAATGAATGTCATTTTCCATATCTCACTTGAGTCGAGTGTTTCAACCAAACTAAATCCTGTTTCCAATTACTCTCCTTTAAGTCCTTCTCTTCTTTCCCTCTGCATCGGTGCTCGTTTAAACTATCCCTTGCACACATTTATTGGCAAGAAACCACAAGCTTCATCTGTGCAGCCATCCCCAAGATCTTTCTCCCCTTTAGCAGCTCCTTTGCCATGTGACTTGCATATTGTCAGCTTTAAGGTTCCTCGTCCTCTGAAATACTCTCAGCAATCGCCAGAAGATCCACGGTTTCTTTTAATATTTCATCGGAGACACTGGGATTCATCATATTGCAAGACAGCCAGATCAAATTGTACTAGGTTTTCTGATGAGCCTGTCAATATATTCAACATGTTTAAGGGGCTTGCGGTATCGAACGCACGAGCAACTTCCTTAAATCTATTGCACGAAGACACAGAAATGCTCGGATATAATGAACAGTCCGGAGATGTTGCTCATGAAGGGCAGCTGCATATCCCTCCCATGGAAATACAAGCTTACAAGTTGGAACTGAAGCCACGTTAATAAATTGTAGAAATGCCAGTTTTTGAGAGCTCTAACAATGCTGTAACCTCCAAATGAGCATCAACGAAGAACTGATTCTCGACTCGGCGATCAATAAATCTATCAGGGTTATCTAATGCCACTTAAAGATGCCAGAATCTGGGGCATGCATAATATTTCTGGAACTGGACAAGGATGACGATTTCGTCTTTTATGTTTTCGAACTGTCTGATCTCATGATCTGGAGTACTTATTTTTGGTTTGGTTGGATTGGCACTGATCCGATGGAAGGTTGGAATAATGTGGGAGACTGAGAAATCTTACATTGTCAAAACTGCACATTTGGATGATGTCTGGGAATAGATAGATAGCAGAGACAGAGTAGCTTGAAAGTAATGATCTGAACTATACGGTTATGTGAGTTGTAATTGTGTTCTTTAGAATTTTGTTTTGATTTGTACTCTCTATTATCTGAATGGCCTCACTGAATCTTCCTTCCACGATCTCAATGGGATTATTTTTCTTGTAATTTCAGAGGAAAACTATAGGTGATTCCTTCACAGGTTTAATCCACTTCAGGAAATAGACTTAAAGCATATGGAAGGGTGCACATCCAGTTCATGGAGATTGGAGTAATTTTTCAATTTTTTAGCCAATCTTTGTAAAAGACAAAGCTTAAGGTTGAATAATCAGTTTTAAAAACCAGATCCAATTATAGCTTCTAAATTTAGGTGTCTTACTGCGCTTGAGCCAACTGCCGATCATCTTGCAACTAGTCTTGCCTATAGTTATAGTGTTGAAGGTACAATCAGTTTTGTTGTTTTACGGAGATATACACTTAGCTTAGGATTTTTTTTTTTTTTTTTTTTTTTTTTCAATGATAGCAAGTCCAAATG